AGACGTCACTAGAAATCAAGACAGTCACAAGACTAGTCACCCTACTAGCCATGAGTAGTAGGCCCTAGTCAGGCCTAGTCTAATCTAAGTCTAAGTACTCTACTCTGTAGTACTGTAGTCTGAGTCTAACCAAGTCTACCTGCATTCTCTAGCTAGATTAATTAATAATTTAATAAATAATGCCACGATTTTAAGTTTAAGTTAATATAAAAGTAAGTCTATACTCATAATACTGTACTATATCTAGAGTAAAGTGAGAAGTTCGAAATTATTAAGCCAGCAGGCAGCAATTTTCACGTTTGGATTTTTATAGCACCATAACGGTCTGACCTATGAAAAAACTGATGGTATCTCTGAATTCCTCGTCCTTTTTTCTATAAAAATAGTTCGAATTTAATGTATCACTAGGCTTGGTTTAAATTAAATATGAGTTCAAAGAGATGTAAGGTAGGTATCGCCAAGCGTACTTTACCTCGAGCGGATTTTCCCCAGTTAGTAAGCTCGAATGGGTTGATGGAAGGTTCGAACAGATCAAAGAAAATATATCTAAAAACATGTTTTAATATTTAATTTTCACTATAAAGTCATTTTCTTTTTACTCCAGCGCAAGAACACCACCCATTGCACCATTTCCCACCCTCCACAACTTCAATCAGACTTAAAAATAGTCTTAAGCCCATTACCCATTTCCTTCACTACCGGGTAGTAAAAAAGAATAATTCCACATCTCCTGAGTTTGACCTCACCATGAACTTAGCCTTTACAAGGAAAAGGAAATAGTATGTGTCGGAAGTAAAGAAAAAAGGTGCATGCGCAGTGGCAATATAGTAGTAATTTGGTAAACATTCAAATAAAAAAGTTTTAGCAATAAACTGAACTGTTCGAACCTCTTGACAAATCGGGGGTGCTCGAACTTCGCACTTTACTCTATGTCTATACTAATACTGTCTTATCTTATATAATACTATTAATACATATGTCTATAGTGAGTATAGTCTATATAGTATACTACTATTGTCCGAAGACTATTGTGTAGTAATATAATATGAGTCGCTATTATAAGTATATTTATTTAAGTCTATAATAAGTTATAGACCTAGTCTATATGAGGCTAGGACCTAGTAGTAGTAGATCTATAGTTATAGTCTATAGATTAAATAGACTAGATGTAGACCTAGATTCTAGTACTACACTAGTCACTAGTAGTATTAATTTTAATAATAATATAGATCTAGAATTTAGTATTAACTAGATTCTAGTATAAGTTATAAGTACTATAAGACTATTACCATAATAAGATAGTTAATCATAGTATCATTATAATCATAGTCATAGTGGATACTAGATCTGTCTTAGAATCATGATTTTTATTATAGATCTAGACTACTACAGAGATAGATTATCAGATAGATCTACTAGATCTAGAATTTCATAACTTTAGCATTATAGAAAAATAAGTCTAGACTAGATCTGGTAAAAATCATCTAATTCTTGAGTTTGCAGTTAGTGAATAACATAATATAAGAGATCTAGATTATATATTGTTATGCTCTTCCACTGTGTTTAGTACTTGAAAATGTAACTAAGTCCAACTGGAGATAACACTGAACACAATGCTGGAACAGATAACACAGACGAAAGGCCAACAATTGATAAATAGTCAACGCTGGTGTTGAAACAACAAACACTTTTAATACTTAATACGGGCACCGTCCGATGTCCTTTATTACTAGCCGTCTATCTAATTCTTATTCTTACTGTAAATAAGAAAGCGTCTTGATTCTAAAGCGTTGCCTAGAGAGTTCTTGTTTTTAACTATCTGTCACGTCACTTGTCACTAAGTAAAACTTTCCCCTTATTCCCGAAACAAATAACTAAATCCTAATCATGTCATAACAATATTTATCCTACTAAAGTCTAGATATGATAGAGATCTAGATCAAGATTCTAATACTGTACAAGCTCAGTACTACTACTTGTGTATTATAATTAGTGTATAGTCCAAGACTCTTCTGAATATATTGAAACAAAATCTTAAAGTGCTTAACTCATAATTGAGATGCTTCAGGATGGAGGCTATAGATATAAGTATAAAATAGCTTGTTACTCCATTAATTTCATGTTAAGTGGACATCAGCCTGATCATGTAGCACAGGCCAAGCTATTTACAGAGAAACGACCTTGCTAACAAACTGGAGAGAATGGATTTCCTTCCCCTTGAAAAGCAATTGGCACTCTTTACACTTAGAACAGGAAATACATCTTAACATAATAAACCCCTCACACCCACTCTATTGTCAATTGTAGACACTGTGCCCACCCTTACAAAACTGTCAATCATACCCTTGTCACCTTCACTGTTGGGGCACCACACAAGATTGGTAGACTGTCATCCTAAATTCCTCTCCGTCTCTGTCCTTTCTTTTTTGTTTTCTCATCACTTTCTCTTTCTGCCTCTTCTTCTTTTTTCTGGTACTGTTCCCTGAAGGAAGGTCTTTGCGAACCTTGAAAACCTTGTGATATGGCCTTAGCTTTTTAGTTTGCATTTTTGACAGTAGTTAGCAGGTCATTGTGGTGTCCAATCACTGAAATGATCCTGTCTAACCCTCTTAGAATGCTTCAGTTTAATTCGCTTCAAAGAGATCCTATTACCATAACTACCCTACATAACCAACACTTGGTATGGAAAACTAAGAACAGCACATTACCATGACACAGACTGCAAAAGACCTTACTGCTCAGCAGCAAAGAGCTGGCTAGGTAAAAAAAGAAGATATTATCAAATAAAGAACAAATAAAGTTCCCCTCTCAGACCTTGAAATCTAAAGGGCGGATGATGTATTTATGAATGTTCCAGAATGGTGATGTCAAGAGTACTAGCCTCACTAACAATAACTTCTGTTTGTTATAGGTAGATCTATATTGCATGTTACTACAATGACATTAAACAGTGCTAGTTGTCCAGTGCAATGCTCAGTACAAACCAGTTTAATTAACTAAGAGGATCAATATCTGTCACTATCACTAATGACTTTAACCATTGATATTTTATTAGATCACCCCCCCCCCCCTTTTTTTTTTGTTCATCAGTCAGTTAACCATTTTATTTATTTATTTTGTTGTTATTTGTTAGTGTGAACTAAGCGACCGTATGTCTTGGGATAAAATCCTGTGTCATCAAACCATATCTTGACTTGAACGTATCTATACCTAGACCGTGTCTAGACTAGATCTAAACAACCCAGACCAATATTTAAATGTACATCTTATCTCTTACTTCTGTACTCAACTCCTGTCCTATTTCAGTGCCTGTAGACTATAAGTCATCTTCTTTTGTGTGGTAAACACGTTGTGGCTGCTATCAAATACAGGCGCAGACAGTAAATTTGGTGATGTTTTGCAAAGGGGCATAGAGGCTGTCAAAAGTAACTAGAAAAACTGAGTAGAGAAATGCTCTGCATATTGCCATGGGATAATCAGAGACAAGCTTAACTAATGGGGAAACTTCCGAAAGGTTAAAGGTCTCCATAGGAAAAGAAGTTTCTGTGAATGGACGGGGTAACGGGTAGGTTTCCGTGTTATCTTTAGTGGCCCAGCGGACACATTTCAGCTCTTCAGGATTCGAACTCAAGCCTTCTTAATCGCAGGACGGGGGGGGGGGGATAGATTGGGCGGGGTTCGAACCAGGGACATCCGGGCATCCATTTAATACTCTTAACTGTTACATATGACATCTCTGTAACCAAACTCTCAAAAGTGGCAGATACTGTTCATTGATAAACTCTTCAGTTTTTTTAAGTCACATCTGTGACAATGCTCATCTTCTTATTTATAGGATGTATTTGCTGACCTTTACCCTCGCAGTCCATTTTGGTCAGGCCGATTTTTTTATTAAATAATAATCTTTATCTATCTAGCAGACGTTCACCGTCATGTGATCCAACTAGTCCTCCGTATCACATGTCCAGTAACACACTGTTCTCGAGGAAATTAGACTTTTTAACTGCGCATTTACGATGAATGTGTCTTTGTTTTAGATTAGAATGTAGACTTTGTCATCTGTCGCTAATGAAAGTGTTAATGGCCTGTGATCTGATTTGTGTCTTGGGATGGGGAGGTTTGTTTTGGTTTGATATTGTATTGCTGTTCTTGTTGATTTATAGACAGCTGCAGTCATTGGTTGAAAAAGCAAAACAAAGGGCGTACTTGTTTTGAAACAGCTCATCCCATGTGTTGTGCATGGTTGGAAATGACATGCGCACACCACATCTAGTCTTTGATTTAAAATTACACACTTTCTAAGTAGCTCTACTTTTGGTACTGTACCAGCAAATGGGATGAAAAACACATATATCTAGATAGACATCGTGTACAATGACAACTTGTCCTCTTAAAGTAAACCGTGTCAGGCAACACAGGCCCTTTATCTCTAGTTGAAAGCGCTGTCTTTTCTCTATTTTTATTTCTACGTAAGGATAAAGCTTTCACCTTTTTTTAAAAAAAAATCTCATCCCTTCGTTACTATGACGTTAAATCCGTTGACTAATAAATCCGCTGGTTCTCAAGTTAGTTCGCACTTGTCTGTTGCTGCATTAATTTTGTGTCCTGACTGGAGACATCGTTCGGGTGGACAGGATGATTGTGGTGTTAATCTGGCATAGACCTACGTTAAGGCGTGGTCAGTGGGTCCTAGTTTGAGAAACGCTGTCTTAGCCTTGGGGGTGACACATTTGAACTGCTGTCACTAATTACAGTCTTAAAACCAAGAGAAATCATTATTTCCATTCCAGGCTATTAATCCTAATAAGTTTGCACAGCCTTAACTTTAAGACGGTAACTTTAATATTTATGAACTTTGTCCAGCACTTATGAAAGGTCATCACTGTTTGAATATAATTTAGTTTATAGTATATGTACAGATTTTTTTCACGAATCGTTTTATTTGAGACTGATGCAACACTTAGCAGACGATGTTAGGCTGAGCCAGACTGAAACAACACTTAGCAGACGATGTTAGGCTGAGCCTGATTGATACAACACTTGGCAAACAATGTTAGGTTGAGCCAGACAGATACAACACTTAGCAGACAATGTTAGGTTAAGCCAGACTGATACGGACACATTGACAAACTTTATGATAATTCCGACAGTGACATTTAGTTGCAGGCTTCATAGTGACGTGCTTAGGTTATCTTGGTTATTTGGTAGAACTGAGAGACATGACAAGATTTTCATGTATGGGTCCGGGTCAACTACATCTTAGGGGCCTAGATCTAAGTTGTCTTCTCATCGCTTTCTCTGTCCGACACTTTTTTTCTTTTTCCTGGTACTGTACCCTGAAGGAAGATCTTTGTGAACCCTAAGGACGTTGTGATAGGGCCATAAAGTTTTGTTGGCGTTTTTTTTATTTTAAAGTATTTTATTTACACTCCTTTATAATTTTCTGAGAGCTGATGATGAAGATAGCAATTAGTTGCTGACAATGAAGGCCTAGCCAGTTGCTGACATTGAAGGTCTAGCTAGCTGCTGAGATGGAAAGCCTAGCTAGCTGCTGAGATGGAAGGCCTAGCCAGTTGCTGACATTGAAGGCCTAGCTAGCTGTTGAGATGGAAGGCCTAGTTAGCTGCTGAGATGTAAAGGCCTAGCTAGCTGCTGAGATGGAAGGCCAAGCTAGCTGCTGAGATGGAAGGTCTAGCTAGCTGCTGAGATGGAAGGTCTAGCTAGCTGCTGAGATGGAAGGCCTAGCTAGCTGCTGAGATGGAAGGCCTAGCCAGTTGCTGACATTGAAGGCCTAGCTAGCTGTTGAGATGGAAGGCCTAGTTAGCTGCTGAGATGTAAAGGCCTAGCTAGCTGCTGAGATGGAAGGCCAAGCTAGCTGCTGAGATGGAAGGTCTAGCTAGCTGCTGAGATGGAAGGTCTAGCTAGCTGCTGAGATGGAAGGCCTAGCTAGCTGCTTAGATGGAAGGCCTTCCTAGCTGCTGACATGGAAGGCCAAGCTAGCTGCTGACATGGAAGGCCAAGCTAGCTGCTGACATGGAAGGCATAGCTAGCTGCTGACATGGAGGGCATAGCTAGTAAGTTGTTAGAATGTTCTATTCGTATCAACTTGTGTCTATGTAATACACAAGCTATCACTTCTGTCCTTTCTGCAAACACACTTTTTTTTTTTGTCAAGGGAGATTACTCATACTCGCCCTTAACTGTAAGAAACGGGGTTCGCCGCGGGGTCTCTTTACCTAATGATCCATGAAAGTATTTTTATACCTCTGTGACCAGTTATTTAAGTAGGAAATGTGTATATCTACCCATCTTGATTTTTTCTTTTAAAAAATTGTCTAGTGGATGTGGCGAATATAAATCCAGCTGGCTACTAACATTCAAATCCGGAAACATTGACAGCGATTCATCTTAGTTTCACCTACGGGACATTAAAGTCACAGTTACTGTCGCCACATCCCGTACACAAACAACAAGCACACACACACACATTCCAAACTGCGCTCCCTCCCCTGCTCTACCCATTCCCTTGTTTTTCTTTGCTCGATCTGGACTTAACCCACCAGATACTTTAAAGCTTGTATAAATAAAAAAAAACAAAACAAACTTTATGTCTAACACATTGGTGCCAAGTTGCTTGCTTTGTCCATTGTAAATATAGAATCTAAGCTTCTAAGGCCTGCTGTTATAATAACTGGTAGATCAATCAGATCAATGCGTAACCCTTTTTTTTATATCGCTAAATAAATCATTTATTTAAAAAAAAAATAGATTTAGATATGTCTATATGGAAATGTATTTGTTTTTAGATGCAATGTACTTGTGATCCTTAAAAAAAAAAAAAGACCGAGGTTTTTTTACCAAATTTTTCGCAATCGGTAGCCCTCGTTCGGACAGTCCTGTGGTTTAATAGTGACTTGTAAAAAGGCAATGTCACACACCGTATCAGTTAGACTGTCTTCTTGTTTTTTTTAAATAGGTCACTGTCTTGTGCACGTGACAATGATGTCACAGGTCATGTGATATGCCACCATGTGACTCTTTTATTATCCTGTGCTACCGAAGTTAATAAACATTTGGAAAAGGTTTGTCCAGCGATTAGATCTAGCAGCATTCTAGCTAGATATAGATTCTTTATAGATCTAGATATTATTTAGTCATCTAAGGTTAGTCGACCAATGACAATAGTACATAGAATCTATGATAGATCTATCTATTTTTTATCGATTACTAGATCTAGATCTAATCTATTAATAATTATTTATTATTATTATTAGTTTTGATTGTCTTTAAATTTAGTCTTGTCATATGACTATGCCTGGAGTTGAGTATGGTAATGATATTGATAATCATAATCTCATAAGACATAATGGCTGCTATACTAATCATAATGGCAATGAATGGTCTAGATCTAGACTATACCATGATTGGCGTGATACGATTTATAATATTTTAGTCATAGACTGATTCTAAGAAAGTGGCTCCAGACCAGAGTCTGCAGAGGATGACCAGAGTGAATAAAGTGACTTAAAGTCTAGTTCTTATCTAGATCTAGATTAGTAGATATAGTATAGAGACTATGACTATATAATATACTTATATAGTAATAGTCAGTGCTTTTTTTTTTTTTTTTTGTAAAATAAAAAATAGGTGTCTGTACTCAGTGATGGATTGTCTAACTTTTTAACTACTAATAAATTAATAATAAACGGTAAAATACAAGAAAAGTAATAATTTCTTCCCCTTAATAGCCTTGTCAGTAGGTGTACTATTATAATAGGTGTACCGGTTTGTACCGTCACAAAAAGTACTGGTAATAGTAATCTAGTAGTTACACATTTGTAGGCCTCTTATACTACTTACTGTATTAGCCTATAGTATAGATTAGATCTATTTAGACATTTTTAATGTTTCATCTTATTTATATTAGTTTAAGATCTAGATAATTTATAAATTCTATAGTAGTAGACAATAGTCACACTATAGACAATAGTATTTATATAAACCTACCTCTTAAGATGAATAGAAGATCTAAGATCTAATCAGATTAAAGATTAACCTATTCTAGTCTTAAGATACCAATCTAGATTAGTAGATTTAGATATCACAGAAATAAATGAGTTCATTTTTTTTTTCTAATTTGAGTTTGGTGTTAATGCATTCACTTTGGTAAAACATAATTTTGTCACCTTTTTATTGCTTTCTTGCTATGGTCTGAAGACTAACTTTTTATGACCTACTAAAACTGCCATAACTTGAACAAAAAAAGGTCTTTATTATGACTTTAAATTCTTAACGTAAAATTTTTCTTTCTTTTTTTTTTCCTCTAGCTTTTGTAAACAGTGACCAGCAACAATGCTCAGGGTAGCCATCTTGGTGCTCTCAGTCAGCTTTGTCTTGGCTGGACCTGCATACATGAAATATTTTAAGATTGAGCCTGCAATCAACACAGCTGAGGAGAAGCATAAGGCTCCAAAGTTTCCTGAGGTTGATGCACATCAAGGTCACGTGAACTCTGCAGCCGCTGGTTCTGTTTACAAACTCTCTTATGCAGATTACAAAGAGACATGGGAAAATTTTAAAGCCAACCACAGTGAGTTTCTTTGCTGTACATTCTAGTTTCAAAGGTGCCATGGGAGACTAAAAAAATATGTTTAGTATGAGAATTTATGTCACCTATAGATATGATTTGTTTTAAGTAATTAAATTTCACCATCTATGGCTTAGACAATAAAAAAATAATGATGAACTATTGAGTTAATTAATTGAATGTATCAATGAATAAGAAGGCAGCATAGCGAGGGGTTACAGGATTATCCTGGTGAAGACTGGGATTTTTAATTTCAGGATCTTTAGGGCCCCTCTGAGTTCACCCAGCTCTAATAATGGAAAAGTAAAGGTGGTTGTTTGTGTTGACACCCTTGTTAACCATGGGCCACAGAAACAGATGACCTTTACATCCTCTGGCCCCATAGGTCGTAAGGCCTGAAATGGGAACTCAACGTTTTTTTATCACTGAATATCTCTAAATGTTTCAGTGAATGGGGATAATTTAAGCTTGCTAAACATACTCCAGCATCCAAATTATTACTTGGACTTTATGCAGACTATTGAAGCATACACATTGAAGTATTTGAGAAGCTTTAGAGTGATTTAGTTTATTTATGTTTAAAAAATATTTTTAAGAAGTTTGTATTTTTTTAAAAAGTACAATGTCTGTTAAGTGTAAAATATTCCATCATTTATTGGGATTTTTATTTTGTATCCAGATAAAAAGTATGAGACTGAAGAAGAGGAGCGTAAGAGGTATGCCATCTTCATGGAAAATGTCAACTTTATTGAATATCACAACTGGAAGTACCACAATGGTCATTCTTCTTACTATTTGGATCTCAACCATTTTAGTGATCTAGTGAGTTTTTTTGTAGTCATCAGTCATTTCGTTTTCTCGGTTACTATTAAACTTTTTTTTTTTTTTCAGATATGAGGTTAAAAATAATTACTTAAAGTTTGATGTTTGTAAGGGGAAATGCTATTAATCTCTATTTTTTTATTCTATTCAGACCAATACTGAATACCGCATGCTCCATGGATTTATGTCTAACCGCACGAGACCCAATCGCGACTGCAACGAGTATCACCCAGCCACAAAGACAGTAGCAGATGCTGAGGACTGGAGAGCCAAAGGTCTAGTAACTCCAGTGAAAAATCAGGTGAGCTCTCTTCTAATTTTTTAATAAAATTTCCAAATAAACATTATTTAGGCATAGGCAAACTAGGTAGCAGTCTAAGGCCTCCATTTGGTGGGGGCCTTGCATAGGACTAACAAAAAAAAATAGAGAAAAATTGTGAAATATAGATCAAATCTTAAAACAACAGATTTCTATGGCTCTATGTCTACTAGTCTAGCTCTAAGTCTCAACTATTATTCAAGGTTGATCACAAATGTTTAAATCTACTTATGTAAGTCCTGCCTTGCAAATATTGTGCAGAAATTATATGCACCTAATTTGAAAAAGGGAATTTAGCAAAAAATGTGAACAAATTTTTTTTTTTTTTTTTTTACCAAAATTAAAGCTTTGTATTATATGTTTATAGAGTGTTTGAATTTAAGTTTTAAAATATTGGTATACATGATTTTTTTTCCTTGATGTTATAATTTTAAATTTTGAGAAATCTTTAAAAAATATACCTACATTGAACAAGTTAAAATAGTATCTGGGTATTGATAATTGGTTTAGCTTTTTAGTTGTACCTTTTTTAACTCAATGAGTGCGGAGCTTCTATCCCATAGACGGTCTGACTGCCCCTAAATGCACGGAACGTCTATCCCATAGACGTTCATACCCTACCTTTGTTTCGTTGCATTTTTAAATTAAACTTTTTAACTAACAACAGTGGAACTTTTTTTATTTTATAAAAGAGTTCTTCATCCTTGGCTTTATTTAGACATTTATTTTTATTTTTTTTTATGATGTAAAAAAAACACGTCACCATGACTACGCTAGTCCAAGACACACCCACAATGTTTACTATTGAAGACACTTTATAATTATTCTAAAATTTATCACAAATAAATAGTAATAATGAAGTATTTGATCTAGATATAGAGATTAGATCAAGGTAAGTCTAAATTTAGCATATTTATATCTGTATTATTAGTATTTAGATCTAAATCTATTATTGTCAGTAAGCTAGGTGTAGAGTGTAGATCGAGATTGACTAGATCTAAGCTTTTATCTCTAGATGTAGACTCTAGATTTAGATATATCTCTAGATCTAAGCTTATGATAAATAACAAGAAAGGAAACAGTAGATCTACATCAAACAATCCTCCACTGTGGGCATTTTTTGCCCATTTTCTTTTTTTTTTTTAGTATTGTTTATCTGTAAAAATCTACAACATGATGGCTATGCTTGTCCAAGACACACCCACAATGTTTACTACTGAAGAAGCTTTATTATTGTTTTATTTATACTTCTATGACATCACATTTCTTTTTGAAAAAGATGTCAATAGTCTAATATGTTTCAACAGTAATGCAAAGATCAAAATCTATATTTAGGTCTCAGAAGTTCTAAAGCTGGCATCCATTTTTTTTTTTGAGGGTCATATTATTTAGATTATAATTTGTATCTTATATTTAAATAGAAAGATGTTTACATTTTCACATTCTCCATTCATTTACCTTTACTTTGATACCAAATATGTTACTATAGCTTCATTGGTACTTGAATAATACATTTTTGTTTTAGCCATGTTTGGAACATTTTCTTTTTTTTCCTTCCAAAAAAAGTAGCATTTTTAAATAAAAAAACAACACCACACTCAATGAGTTAAAATAAAAATATTGTTTTCCAATTTCAGAAACAATGTGGATCCTGTTGGTCATTTAGTACAGTAAGTTCTCTTTCATTGTGATTGAACATAGTATTTCATTGACTTGTGAAGCCTACTTGTAGCCCTACACATCTTGGTATACCTAATAATGATACAATTTGCCATTATTTTTAAGACAAAAAAATGATATGATCAAACTGACACTTAAAAATTAAACAAAACATTTTGTTGTTTCTAAGATGATCAATTGTATAACAAGTAAAGTTTTAAAAAATGAGTTTTACCATGGGCATAGATTTTTATGTATCTTCGAAACATGTTCACCCAAATAGTTTTTTTGTTCTTGTCTTTTAGACTGGATCAGTTGAAGGGCAGTGGTTCAAAAAGACAGGAGAACTCATGTCTTTGTCTGAACAACAGCTTGTGGACTGCTCCAGCTCCTATGGTGACCAGGGATGCAATGGTGGACTGATGGACTATGCTTTCGAATACATAATAGATGCTGGTGGTCTTGAGGCTGAATCGACATATCCCTATGAAGCACAGGTTTATGGCTTTTCAAATTGTCTGATGTGTAGAGCTCCATGTCTAATGTTTAATCACTCTTTATATTTTTAAAAAAAAAAAAAAGACATCTTTAAACTTAAACATTTAACTTTGCTCATAATAAATTCAAAGATTTGTCAGCCTTTGTATGTATTAGTTGAACCTGTTTAAAATTTTTGGAGATGACAGCTATTCTCTATGAGGTTTATTGGCAGAAATTTATTCAATGGTTTTATTAGTTCATTTGTAACGACTTGTATTTTCAGTTTATTTGTATGAATTTCTTTTAAATTTCAGGATGACACATGCAGATTTGATAAGTCAAAGGTCGTGGCCAAAATTAGTGGATGTGCTGATGTAGTGCCACAGGAAAGTGAAGAAGCTCTTAAGATTGCTGTAGGTAACATTGGTCCTGTGTCAGTTGCTATAGATGCCAGCAGCAACGCCTTCCAGTCTTATAAAGGGGGTATGTTGACTTTGCTTTTTCTATTTTTAACCACGGTATCAGCTGTTGTAATTTTTATCTTAGTGTGACAATCTATTGTTTGAGTGACTGATTATGTCTTTGTGTTATGAGATTGTGTTGATCAGACAATGCCTTTTGATGTTCTGGTTGTGTACAGTTTTCTCTATTTAAACAATTACTGAATACTCAAATAATATTGTGATGCTGAAGATTTTGTAAATTATAAATTCAAAACTGACATCTTCTCAAGTACAAAGTTTTTATCCTGGAAATAAGAATTACTTTAATAATATAGACAATGTACAATACAACTTACTTCCGTCGTTCAAGCTCTCAAACTATTGATTAATCCCCATTAAATAATTTTTACCATCTCTGTCCTCTTGCCTTTTTTGGAACCAACCAATCTTCTTTTGGGTGCGTTGAATCTCTCAACAGCTCCCATTATTGTCTGGAATGAACACATGCCACCATGACCCTGTGATGCAAATATTCAAACAATAAAACAATTTAATAATTTATTCAAAATGGCCATTCTGTGACACTAAGATAGCTTCTGTTTCTTGTTGACTTTCTCTTTCTTGTTGCTTCATCTTCATTCGCTTCAAAGTCTGTTGACATGCTAATCAAGTTTCCTCTACTGTTCTTTCTACCATTCTGTCTCATCCAGCGTGAGGACTGCCCGTTCCTTGGTGTAGTCTCTGTATGTTATATTTCTCTCTGGTTCTATTCCACGCAGAAAGGTCTTAGTAAATCTTGAGGCTAATAAGAAGAAAGGACCTCGCCACCTGTTGTTTTTTTTAACTATTGCATGGCAGGTATAATAAATTGCTATCAATTCTGTCTCTGAGCTCCATGTTTTTTATGCAGTTTCTCTTGTCTCCTGTCTATTAACTGCCAAAAGCATATTATCTCCATGACTGCACCTTTTCTTTCCAAATCTATTCTACAAGTTGAGACTAGTAAGCATATAGTTTTTGTTAGTCCAAATGATCTTAAACTTTGTGTGGTCTAGTGAGAAATTCAGGCCTAAATTCTTCATCTAGGGCAAAACTTTATTGCATAGTACCAGTACCAATTTTCTTATTAGTATCTTTGTTTATTTTTGCTCAGTTGCTATTACAGTATCTTTTTTACGCTGCAGGTATATATGACAATGTAGACTGCAGTCAGACACAGCTAGACCATGGTGTTTTAGTTGTAGGCTACGGTAACCAAAATGGACAGGATTATTGGATTGTTAAAAACAGGTAAGTTTAAGTGTATCTAAAAAGATATTTAAAAAATGTTGAGATCTTCTCAACGTTCAGATCATATTTATTCTAGGGAGTTAGATTTGTTAGTATATGGGGAAATCATTATTATTTTATGTACTCAGATGTGCATTAGTTAGCTATTGTCAACATTGTTTCTGTTATTTATCCTTGCTTAATGGCCTTGTCTTCTATTTAGTAGTGTCCCTTTTTTAATGTTTAAAGTAAAAATTTCAAATAGGCATAACAAAAAATATTTTAAAAAATGAACTTCAAATCTCTGGCATTTTTTTCTTTTTTACTTAAACATGAATATTGAAGGAGCAACATTTATGGCTCTTTTATACCTTCACCATTTCTCTTGTTCCTGTGCTGATCTCAATGAGGAAATGTTGCTATCAACTCAGCCACAGTCACTCTTGTTTGTTCATGTAACATGTCCATAACATTATTGCCTTTATTTTAGCAATGGGGAGCAAATTATCATAGGTTCGAGTTGTTATTTTTTTTTGACCTGCCTCTTGATGTTCTTTGTTGAATGTTTTTATGGAATCGTTTTTGCATCCTATCACCACTGATGTGGGCATTTTTCTACCTGTAATATTTAAAAAAAAACATGCCTTATACTCTAGTTAAGAATATACCTGTTAGCACTTCTTGCTTGACCCCATCGTCTGACACTTGAAAAGTGGAACATCTGTTAATGTTGTTGGTCAAGATCTTTGTATTTCAGCAATGATCTCTAATTGACAATATCATATACCCATTTGGATTTGTGAAGTACATTTTATTATTACATCTTAGTAACTTGTGCTCGTCATTTTGTAAATAAATATGTTTCTCTGCTTTTTGTTTAGCTGGAGCACATCATGGGGAGACAAAGGATATATACTCATGGCCCGTAACAAGAACAACCAATGTGGTATTGCAACAGCTGCCAGCTTCCCAATTGTTTGATACTGCCATCGGATAATTGAAATTTATGATATTGCCTTGAAATTCACTTCTAGGTTATTTTTTTCACTGACAAGTATTTTTGAAAGATCTTAATGTTATTCTTAACAATGTTTTTTTTAAATTTATTTAGAAAGTAGTGAAGATTGTTTTGGTAGATTATTTTTTAAAATATTATTTTTTTGAATAGATTTTTTTTTTTTTCAACAAATGTATTTTAAAATCGCTGTGTGTATTAATAAAAAAAAAAATTAAAATACCATGATGTTTAAAAATACATTTTTATACTTAAGTAAATTAATAAATCAAAATATCAGCTTCAATAACATTACAAGAACTAGGCTTTAGCTATCCATTAGATTTTGTTTACATCATATCTGTCATAGATTTGAAAATATGTATATCAATGACTGTTTGATTCAAACTTCATAAAAAATTGCATTGGCTTCTAAGGGTTTAACTAAACTACATAGTTTCAGTGTCTTGTAATTCAGCTTCAGAGTATAACTGGTAATAGAGGAGAATGCTAGTGCCTTAGATAGTATCACATTCCATATTTTGAAATGAAATCTCTGAGTTTTTTTTGTTTTTATATACATGAACACACTTTTTTTTTTTGTTTTTAATTTCCTATTTCAAGAGCAGATCTGAAGGTTTTTGTTTTTCCTCAATTCTGGTATCCAAAACAACACAATGTTTTATTTGTTTAAATTTTTAACATGTTTGATTTGTAATTTAATATCAAGTGTGTGTGTGTATTTCTTTTTTTTTTTTTTTACCTGGTTCCAATGTATGTTTTGGCTATTTGCTGTGTTTGGTGAGTGCGCAGGGTTGGTTGCTTGTTTATCTGATGTATTTAGTTGTATGTTTGTGTTCTATAAAAACATGAAATTGTAAATAAACTTCAACTGTATGTGTAATATTATCTGTTATTTATTTTGTTTTGTTTAGTTGTATACTTTAAACACATCTTATGTCTATTCTTCCCTTTTAATTAATTTTTTTTTATATTTAGAACAGAGGTTCTCAAACGTTTTTGATTCAGGGACCCTTTTAATATAGTCAAAACTTGCACACAAATCCATAAGGCAAAAAGCTACGTAAATGCATAGTATACAAGTTAAAAATGTAAAAAAAATGCATTTTATTGAGTGTTTATAAATAACAACCACA